CTTTAAGTGACCCTAGTCGTAGCTTCGAGTTACGAAAAAACTTAGACCATATGCACATTATAATTTACGAGCAATAAAATAAAATAAAAAACTCATCCTGCTCATCTCTTACTCCATAGGTCCACCACCGAAGATAAGACTAAATATCTTCTGCACCAATAAAAAGCCAAAAGTGTAGAGCAAAGAAAGAACTCTTCAACAACTCCAAGTGTGTGAAATTAAGGGAGATATTTTGAAGCTTAATTGGATATTTTGGAAGATATATAGAAATTTGGTAGGGTATAAAGACTATATATAAACAATAAAGTAAAGCAAATAGTGTTGGAAGTTTGAATGAAATCCAAGACATCGTAGAATGGAGAAAGAGATTGGTTCGTATAATTCTGAAATGTCCCACACTTGGTAGATGGACAGTAGACCTAGTGGAAGTAATTTGAGCTTCACATTGGGTATGGACTTTAAATATTATGATTAATTAGATTTTTTGTTACTGGGTTTGCCTCGAAATTAAATTTGGTCACCGTGATTTTAATTTTTCCAATTTGAGCACCGTACTTGGAATTTTATTTGGCTTTTGGTTATGGAATGTAATAATGTAATCAACGATACCCATTTGTTATTTAAAATTTAAATGTACAACTCAGGCAACTATCCTTGCACCAAATTAACATGTACCAAACTAGAAGCGGTATCAAGAATTACACAAGAGAATATATTTTGTAGCTCATTCTTATCTATTACATGTCACATTGTCCTTTGAGCCATTAGTTGTCCTTATGCTAGATAAGGCTTGGGTGCCTTGAGTAGTGTCGTCTATTTGGGTGTCTTGAATTTTATGTTGGGTTTCTTCTCTATTATCAAAGCATATACAGAGAGAGGCCGCTCACGCTTCCGTTTATTTTCGTCCTTAAGGTTTTTGTGTGACATAATCGATCCTGAAGATTACTTTTGCACCTCAAATTGGTCCCTACTATTAGTTTTCGTCAAATTTTCTGTTAAAATGCTGACGTAGCCCACATGTGAGCCCACAAATCCAATAATATAACACATAGCTTTAAATAATAAAAGATACAATATATTTTAAATACCCCCCACGTTCCTCACCCCTTCTTCCCTTCAACCACCATCCTCCTTCCCTGCAATATTTTTGAATGATTTTAGTTGTAGGACTCTAAATTTGTTTTGTTTTGAGCAATAAATTCGTTTTGGGAAGGTAGCAATTATGTCATGTACTCACTAATTTTTATACAATTTTATGAACCACACAAATTTTGATATGACCCAAATATATTTTAGGTTCTAAAATAGGCATAATCCGGCTTGCTTTATTGCCCCAGCCTGACCCACATATTCCAGCCCATGTGAGGGACCCTGGTTGGCTTAACATTAGCTTTAAGCCCTAATAATTTGGGCCGGCCCATTGATAACTCCTAAAGGAATTAATTAATCCAAACCATCATCATCTACTAGAGAGATGAGAAGTAGACACAAGAAAAATGGACATTTGCACCATATTTTATGCTTATTTAGTTATATTAATATGTACATGATTGAAAATCTAATATACTTTACGAATGCCAAACCCTAGCCCCCTTTCTATCAAAAAACCCTCTTAGGGTCGTTTTCATTTTAAGAGGGGATGAAGTCATTGTTATTTCTTCCCTCTCCCCTCTTTTCTTCCTCCCTCTCTTCTTCCCTCATTTTCAGAGGCAAAAGGTTTTCGTCTTCATTTTGTTATGATTTTCTTTCAACCATCACAGGCGGATGCATATCGGCATCAGATATCCAACTGTGCTTCGGCGTCGAATCTCCACCACCGTCTTCTTTGTTGTTTTTTTATGTTCGGAATAAGTCACAGAGACTTTTTAGGTTCTCTATATAGTTTTCACCTCTTCTTTTGTGAGAGCTTTTCATCTCTCCTTTATAAGAGTTTTTTTTGTATTGTTATGACTTTGTTTTTTCAAGCTTTTTCTCTTTTTGATTATTTTGTTAGTTTGTAATGGCCGCTTATGACTAGTTTGTATTGGTCCTTTGTGGCTAGTGGCTTTTTTGATTGAATTATGAACGCAATCCTAGAATTTCTCAACCAAAAAAAAAATCTAATATTATTTTAATGGTGGGTTGAGAATTTTTGAGATTTAAAGAAAAGTTGAAGTAATTAAGCTATCTCCAGCCATGGGCTATATCCCAAATATAGCCCTAAAATAATGCAAAACCCATCTCCAGTCAGGGGCTAAACAAAATGTTGGCCAAATTTGGAAGGCCACATTTGGCCCTTTAACCCTCCAACCGAGCCATATGTAGCCCAGCTTTGGCCGTAGCCAAATTTTTTGTGGGCCCCATGCATGTGCTTTTGAAAAAGATAAATTATCAAGTGTGGGTAAGAGCACAAATCATCTCGTGCAAATGCATATCCAACAGCCAACATTAAAAGCGCTGATGTCATTGATGACGTCATCTGGATATATATATAGGACTATTCTCTAGTGTGGACGTCCGGAACTGCTTAATGTCCGGTCTTTATCGTTAAAAAAAAGCCACTAAAGCACACATAACAGCCTCCAAATTCTCTCTACAGTCCACCAACGAAGGAAAAGCCCAATCAAGAGGTGATGTTTGACTTTTAAGCATCGGCAAAGCAGGGTTTCTATTCTACCTTTACCAAGAAAAGTGATAAATGTGTTTAGGTTGATTTGTTAGCACAAAGAAGGCAAAAAAACAAGTAGTCCGGACGTTAGAAAAAATACAGACGCCCGTAGTAGAGAACAACTCTATATATATATATATATATATACAGTCCCGTTCTCCTGGACCCCTGTAGTCCAAGGTGTTTGTGGTCACCCACCATTGGGAATGGAGCGCATTTCGTGGCCAGCCGTTTACCTCCATTGGGAGAGCTCCCGCGGCGAAAGGGATTAGTCACTGCTGTCGGCGGTGGATACCCTTGAGTCTCACCTAAAAAAAAGAAAATGAAATTTTATGTGTTTTAAAATAAATGTTTTCTCCACCCTTAGATTAAATCCAAGGGTGGGTGACCACAAACTTCTTGGACTACAAGGGTCCAGGAGAACGGGACTGTATATATATATATATAAGTGTTTTAAAATGTTTTCAATGTTTTCAATTCATGTTTTCACACATACTTTTTAAATGTTTTAAATTCGTGTTATTTAAGAAAAAATTATAAAAAATTCAACACATGTCACTCGAAAATCATAGACTGAAAAATTATTAAGATTCCTTCAGGATAAGACGTGCCACATGGACACAAAATCTTGTTATATATGGAATATTGTCTCTAAATAATAGTTTAATTAAATTAAACAATACATAGTTGTGGGAATGTATGAGTGTTGTACCATAGTTTTTCTCAAAATAATAAAATATGAAAGACCCTAAAATATAGCCTGCATGGCTGGAGATGGAATAATTTAGCTCTGCACTATTCTTTAAAAAATTAATATTTTGGAGGGCTAAATTTTTAGCCATGGACTACATTTAGCCCTATGACTAGAGATGGCCTTAGAGCATCCACAGTGGGAGGGTGTATTTTTGGGGGTGTAAAGCCACTTTTACATCACCTTTACACCTCATGCCTTCAGGGGGTGTAAATACGCTTTTTGCTCCAATGGGGGTTGTAAAGCTACTTTTCTCCATTTTTCCTCTCCTTTTTGCAGCTAGGTCCCACCTGCAAGAGATGTAAAAAAAGATATACAATTGCATCTAAATATACATCTCCAAGGTGGTGATGTAATTATACATTCATATACACCCCCCATTGCGGGTGATTCCGATTACAACAGGTGTATATTTAACATACACCCCCTTATACACCCCCCCACTGTGAATGCTCTTAGGAGGACCTACTAGATGAGGTATTTGGTTTTTGAACCAAAACTTGTTGTACTGTCCAAAGCTTGAGAATTAATTCTCTAAGTCATCTGCATGTTTCTTGTTGAAAACGTGAACCTTCTATTTCTCCTGATGGAAAGCGATGTCGTGAGAAATTAATTACATTGGTTTAATTTCTTCCAACTGCTACTATAACACTGTTGATCAAGAATTATGTCAATCAGATCGATTCAAAGCGTCTAGATTAATCTACAAAGATGAAAAAACTTGAAGGCTTAAGCCACTCATATGGTTCCAAAGGCCAATGAAAAGAAGGTTTTTCTATATGGTAGGTAATATTTTGAATGATATCTTTCTACTATTTTCAGCTCATGACCAAGAATGAAAAATTAGGTATGAAAATAAGGTTTTTCTCGCCGCCGTTTTTTTCTTTTTTCAAATGTTGGTGGGCTGTTGAACGGGATTGATGTCAACTTATTTATTTATTTTTTTCAATGATTTTTTTCTTTTTGGGTCAACAAGACATGACATTAGTGTCTACAAAAGCAACTTATGGAGACTTTTGGTGTCCAATTTAGTGTTAATATTACTTTAGTATATTGGGCACCAAAAGTGTCAATATAAACGTTTTTTTCGACACCAATGCCAATATAAACTCCTTTTGTGTTCCCAAATGTTGGTTGATTTTTTTTTTTTAATTGACATGGCATGACCACATCAGTTGCCACATAAGGTGGTCGGCTAATATAGTCAATCTTGTGTGTCAAAATAGCATTACTCTTGCCAAAAATGTAAGAGTAATGCTATTTGGACACACAATATTGACACACTTAGTTGACACCCGCTGATGTGTCAATGTATCATTCGATGAACAGAAAACGAGGAGAAAAGAAGAGCAAGTGATACATTGACACATCAGCGGGTGTCAACTAAGTGTGTCAATGTAGTGTGTCCAAATAGCATTACTCTATATATATTTTGCTTAAGCCAAGTCGTATTTTTACCCGGTGAAAGTTGAGATACTTGGCTCTAAAGTAGCTATAAATAAGAACCACTTCTTTCAAATAGAACAACTCATCACACTTTTGCTTCCCTCTCAATTTCTATCTTCTAATTACTGATCATCATCTTCTTAGTTAAGTTTAGAGATGGCTGAAGTTGCTGCTGCTCAAAGCACAGAGGTATTGAAAGTAACGAGCATCAAATCACTTGCTGAATCACCTGCTCTCAACTCTGTTCCTTCTGCATATGGCTTCACCATAAACCCCAACGATGAAGCAGATCCCAACGACCCTGAATTCGCAATTCCCATGGTCGACATGTCTCTTCTCACCTCAGGATCTCCAGATCAACGGTCAAAAATCATCCATGACCTCGTCAAAATTTGTCAAGAATGGGGCTTCTTCATAGTAAGTGGACATGCAAATATACATGCAGTTATATAATCAACGAATTAAAAAATTAACAACTTATTATAATCATGTGCATTGCAGGCCATTAACCATGGAGTCCCTGAGAGCCTCATGAAGGCGATGATCGAAGCATGCCATGGATTTTTCAGTCTACCGGACGAGGAGAAGAATGAGTTCAAATCGGGGAACGATGTGCTGGAGATGTTCAAGTATGGAACTAGCTATAATCTGGCATTGGATAAATTCCTTCTCTGGAGGGACTTCTTCAAGGTCAGGGTGCATCCCGAATTCTACTCCCTCTACAAGCCGGCTTGCTTCAGTGAGGTCTCAATGGAGTTCAGCAAGAGAGCCCGAGAAGTTGCGTTGGAGATAACAAGAGCAATCTCAGAAAGCTTGGGGTTGGGGCCAAACTACATACACAACGCCATGAACATGGATCGTGGCATACAAATGCTCGCCGCCAACTACTACCCGCCTTGCCCTCAGCCAGAACATGCAATTGGTATACCCCATCACACTGATCATGGCCTTGTCACCCTCCTCATCCAGAATGAGATGAAAGGCCTCCAAGTTGAGCACAACGGCAAGTGGCTCACCGTTGATGGCCCTCCCAACGGTTTCTTTGTCAACCTTGCTGACCAGATGCAGGTTTTTTAGTTTTTAATTTTTCTGAACTCAACATGAAATACAATAATTTATCTAAACCTGTTTGGTTTCTTGCAGATTCTTACTAATGGTAAATACAAGAGCGTAATGCATCGAGCCACCGTGAACAACAAAGCTACAAGGATATCGATCGCCATACCGCATGGACCATCTGTAGATACAATTGTTGCACCAGCTCCAGAGTTGTTGGAAAAGGAAGGCCAAGCTCCTAAATACCTTGCCATGAACTACAAGGAATATATACAGCTTCAACAAAGTGCCAAGAACTATATGAAGTCTGCCTTTGATCACATACGAGTCTAAGCTTTTTACAGTGGCCTAGCTTCGTCACGTTTCAACCATATTGAAAGAGCTGCAGTAGCTTCCCTTATTTTTATTTTTATTTTTTTTAAAAAAAATTATGCCATCTCTGGTTATTTATTTATTTATGATCTACTAGCCCAAAACTAGAGTTTATGTAATGAAATTTGTTATTAGATAAAATAAAATAAAAACATATATTAAAAAAACTATTGGCCTTATGTCATAATTTCAGTGTTGAAAACTGTACAATACTTTGAGAGAAAACGAAGATAAAGAAACAGAGATGATGAAGCAACATCCTTCAAGCGCTAAACCAATCAACAAGCATGGAAATTGAAGCCTCAGAATAGCTAGTCAAAAGCGAGTTGGCACCCACGACTCGGCCGAAAATCGGAGCTAAGACAGTTGAGTTGATCCCTCCTTTTGCTTGCACCTCCTGGCTAGACCCAGCATCAGTTGAGCCCGAGGCATTAGAGGCAAGGGTTTGATCCTTTCGGGTCCGCTTGTTCATCTCACTACTCCACATACTTGCCACTGCAGACATGACTGAATATCTTCAACCTTAAAATGCTTGTGAAATTAGAAAGGGGTAGATTTTGAAGCTTTGGGGGTTGGATAATTTTGATGCTTTTTGTGTTGGATAATTTAGGGAACTTGGTAGGTTCTATATATATATATATATATTTATCTGTGGGCTTGTTTTCATAGAAACAAGCACCTACGTTGGTCAGTTTCATTGAACATTCTTGTCTGGCCACAGGAAGTCCCAAAAACCACGGCAAGCTAGCTAGTGGTATTAGAAAAGAACAATATGGAAATGAAAACATTGGGCATTTACTTATCCTATGGATCTCATAAGGCTTCCTGTATTTCTTTTCTGATGGCCCGAAAACCTAACTTTAGTTAGGTTAAGTGAGAGAAATTCTTTGGTCCGGCAGGTAGACAATATCACCAGTCTGGCCACACACACAAACAAGGGTAGTCCCAAATCAATATTTGAAGAAAAACTTGTACACGGAGATGACACTATTTTGCTATTCTCAATCAATCACGCTCCACCACGCATGATAAGAATTCTAAACGATGGAGCATGATTGGATGGGGATGTTTTGCTATCCTCGTGACATGCAAATCTTTCTCCAGTATATGGGTCGCCCTTCAGAGAATGATAATAATAAATTCGATTCCCGAGAGTCAAACTGAGTACCAAAATCTGGATCAGATTCTATCAAAAGAGGGCTGGATTTAGTTTAGTGCATCTTTTTATTAAGAATACCACTGCTCTGTTTTGTTAGTTTCAACTGTCATTCTTACCATCCTCCCCCAATAAAGTGGATATCTAGAAGAAGAAGAAAAAAATGTGAAAGAAAGGGAACTCTCAAAGTTTCCAACTATGAAAGAGGATGGCACTGTCCAAAAACGCATTTCAGGTTGTGTTGTAGTTTTGGTATTCCTGCAGAGATGAAGATCCTGCTCTTTCTGAAACGCAACCTGTGGAAAAATAAACTGATTGCCTATCAAATTGGTAGGAGAAGAAATGGACAACCTGGCTGAGCATATATATAAACGCAAAGAGTACTTCTGGGAAAAAATGCATTTAAATATACAACAGAACAAAAGATTGATGCTGCACTCACATTGGTAAGCAAATTTGCGATATGGAGATCGTGTTGGTTTTCTAGAGACTGCTTTGGGAGATACTGAGAATGGAGCAGAGATAAGCAAATGTGATACACCATGCGAGCAAGCTGCCACAAATCCAAAATCCTCTTACTTTAAATTGCAACTGTGGAAAAACCTTTTTCAAACCTCCAACAGTTTTCTACTTTGGATAATAGTGTGAGGTTGTCCCATCTTCATAAAAGGACTAAAGCAGTGAAGGCAGCTAAGCAAGCCCTTGTTTTGTTCGGAAATCGAGTTCAGCTTCAAGCTGCAAGACTGGTTTGCATGAAACATTCATTAATTTTGTCAAGGCACCGCATGTTCTCCGCCTAATTAACTGCTGACCGTTATAGGGTGGGCACATGCCTAATGCAGTTATTGGACATTTGTGGCCAGTTTCTTTCCAAAGATAACCATGGCACATTTAATGATCAGGGGCCAGGAGATTTGAAACGAACAGAAAGCCGGGGTTGCTGAAGTTTGCCAAGGATGCAAAAGGTTCCATGCTCGATTGTCTGATTATGCACGGCAAAAATGAACCACCCCAACATTCCTGACACTGTTTTTTGCTCTCTGTAAACAGACTTGGAAACTCATCATCTTCACAAGTTCAAATCCATGGTGTCCAACCTTCATACATGTTGCAAAGATTGTCCACACTAGTGGCCTGCTTAAGTAGATAGTCAACTTGTTCTGAGATGCTAATTTCTCTGAGAATAAAAAAAAGAGCCAATGTCAATTCCGATTATCATCAACAACCTACACAGAACTCCAGAAGAAGCAGTTACCTGTTCTCAGCAATATCTCGACCATCTAGTTTCATCTCAACTTGCCTCAAGACCGACATTGCGTAAGGGTTTTTACCTATAAAAAGAACCAAAAGTATGTTACTTTTTTTCTCAAGCTATTAAGCACCCAGCAATCACCAGACAAAAAGTAGTACGTATTCAGGCACAGTGAATGCAGAGTTGGAGGGTGTGGGTGGGGTGGGGTGGGTCAGATTGACTTACCACATGAAAACATATTAACGACTATGGGAAGACCAATTTAAGACATATCACCATATTATACAGAATTAACATAATAACGCAGAAATGCTGTTGAACCACATGAAAACATTTAGTGTGTTCTTTCACAAAATAAGGTTGCATACTGATTTCTCCACCTAAATCTTTGGATCCGTTTCATAATTTTATCTTCATACCAAACATATTAACACAGATTTATTTTAACCACATCCAAAACTTAGTCAGTCCTCTTCCCGCTCTCAATCTTGAGAGTTTTCCATCAATTCATAGTCTTGCTCTCACACCACTTTTTTTTGTGATTCTGCCCAGCTTTCAAGTCACCTGGATCCCCCTCCCCCTTCTGGCACTACCCATTCCCCACCCATTGCCCACCTCTTGTCTCTGAACTCTTAAGTGAGAACTTTATACAGTAGTTAAATTGAGCACGGTGAAATACTTGAAGGGAAGAACAATGGAAGTAATAGTGCGGAAGAGAGGGTATAAATCTGTTGTCCATGTTGTAATCTTCAATATGAGAAAAAAGAGAATATTAGCCTTCTCTTTTATTGTTGTAAAGCAAGAAAAGTGAAGTGGAGTTTATACAAAAGCAATATTACTGTTACAGCCCTTGTTATCCTAATTTTCCATTTCTACCCCTGAATGGCTGATGGTTAGTGGAACTTTGGAATTCTACCTGTTACCTAGTATTCCCCTCACTCTTTAGGGGAGGCAGAAACCTGGGTCAGAAGGCCCTTGAAGGGAGCCTGGTTTCCTTCATTAATGGTTTCTTCTTTATTACCAAACCAAACAAGAGAACTAACCATTTTGTCGTTTTCCTTCCACTCTAAGTCATTGAGACACATTTTCATCTTGTAATAAGCTTATTAGTTTTAACACTTATCACCATGGGTTAATTATGGAAATAATAATTCCAATATATCAATCTAGTTACTTCTTTTTCGTAAATAAAATTTATAAGGAAATAAAAGAAATAACAATATTATGAACGGCGGGCATTTTCAATGAGAAATGGGATGAGTTGAACTTTCAAATGAAAATCCTGCTCAGATGTTAAACTGTGTAGACTTGATCTGGGAAAGTTAAAAAAGGGATGGAAAGGAAACAGTAGATATACATATTAAAGAGCAGAGAAAAAATAATACAAGTAGATGATTTTATAGATAGGCATGATACTTACCCCTGCCTACTCGGCTAGAAGCCTGCATAGCATCACGATTTTCATCCTTAATTTTGACCTTGTTTAGTGAAGATATTTCCTCTTTACTCCCAAACTTCTCCTGTGTGTTCTCATTTGACGGACGCGAAATTTCAGGACCAACAGTTGCAGATTCATCACTTGGTGATGCCACAGCCTGGGGATATTCATTTGGGTCACTAAGTGTTGACTTGAAAGAACCAATATGAATGTTATCAACCTCTGTGTACTTTGATTCGAACTGCGCAGAATCTGTGATTTCTTGGTTATCATTTTGAGAGTAAGGAGCGGTATTTTGATAATCTGTAGCCTCTCTGCTGCTAGGCCCAAGCAAAAGCTGTTGTCCTATATCTTCTGGATCATTGAAGCTACCTGGAAAACTCTCTTCAGCTAAGGTAATGCCAGATTCTGTACTACTACTGCAGATACTATCTGGCGGAGATAACCATCCTTTAGCTTCCAAAGGAAGTCCAGTAATGCCAAGAAAATCTTTGGTGCTTTCACCATTTGACATGGAGAGGCTCTCTTTCTCCTCCTTTTCATCAAATCCAGTAGCATCAGCAGCAAGATCTGGCCTCGATACATCAATTACTGGTGATTCTACTTCCTGACTTTCTCCCAGTCCTTCAAGAGCCTATCCAAGATGAGAGAGACAGAGTTCATATTTATTTAACATGCAGTTATCAAAAAGTATGATTTATGTCAAGACTGTGACTATACTTTATGAAGATTCCCAGCATGGAGACTTGCAGTTCGTGCAAGCCTAGTCAACATGGAATAGAGCCCCTTCACAGATGACGTAAGGGAGGGCACCAAAGGCTCTATGGCCTGACGAGCCTCCCTAATTCTTAAAGAATAAGACTGGTATATTGCTTGTCCATGAATGGGAGATATTTCCGTCTTGGTCTCCCTTCCCCTAGCCATAGCATCAGTCATGGCAGCTACATCCTTGGACAACACTGTTTCCAGTGGAAGAAGAATTGCATTTGCCTGCCCAAGATGTCAACAAACAGCATATGTGGTTATTAACATACTTGAAAACAACCAGATATATTAATATTTTCATACAAAACTCATGGAATAAGTAAACTACACTCAAATATAAAATAATAATTGTGAGACAAGGAAAACCTTTGAGAGCTCTTGTACAAGAGAACAGTGTACTGCAGCAGCCTCCTTTCCAAGACTGTGAACATCATGTAGATCTTCAGTTATTGCAAGAACCTATTCAAAGTAGCAGTATTAGTAACACAACGAAGCCATCCCCCAAAAAAGAACAATTAAAAAATGACAAGGGAAATAGAGTGCCAGCTGATAAGATCCTTGAGAAATTCTAATTCCAGAAGAAAAAGAAAGGAAAGAAAAATTCAGTAATGGTGTTTCAATACTCGATCATAAAGTTTATGGGCAATCTATCCATCACCTTTTAAAATCATAAACCGTTTCTACTGAATGTATGACTAACAATTAGAAGAAAGCTAAAATTTAAAACATTGCCAATTTATTGGAATGACTTCAGAATTAAACCTCAAATTCAAAGGACTCAAAGGGAATAAAAAGAATAAAATTAAAATCATCAAAAATGAAATTAATTTTTACATAATTGAGTTTTTAAGAAAGTAGTAAGGGCTCACGCACAGTGAAGATAACTTGGTAAAATTGAGCATGGATCAATATAAAGGACCCTATAAAAATGCATGCATCTATTGGAAAAAACTAATCTCGAGGTACAAAAATATTTACAATATTTATTCAAAAACATGATAGCTAATATGGCAATGCCATGCAACGATCAACATATCAGCTGTGCATATAATATTGGTACACAAGTTTACGGCTATTTGACGAGTATTTCAATACAGTATATAAACGTACAAAGTACATTAAAATATGCTCAAAAGGAAAAATCATTAGCATCAATGTTGTAGCCCATACCTCTTCGAGCATGGAACCACATTCAGAAGTCAAAGCAGAATGACGATTTGACACACGGGCATATGCACTCAGTGCGACACTGGCTTCGCATGCACAGTCACTCATTGCAAGCACGGTGCTTTGTAAATCACCTGTAAATGACAAAAACCAGCAGGTCTCACATGATTTGTAGATATACGTATTGCGCAGATGGGATTGTGTGGTATTTACTTATTTCTTTTCTAATAAATATTAACTAGTATAAAGTGGAAGATGTATCCATTAGTATATGTGGAAAAGTAGGCATCACCTGAAGCTGACTTTGCTCTAAGAGAGGCAACACTAAGTTCGTTGGTTGCAGAAGATAATCCACTAGAAGCAGTTTCCATGGTCCTTTCTGCAACCTTCCATTCTTGTTCAGTGCCTAATACCAGAAACAACAAACTGCACATTTAGGACTCATATGGATGAGAAAGAAGTACCAGAAACAAGTTGATCACCAAAAAAATTAGAGACTCACGAGCAAAAGAATGGTAAGTAATATCCAATCTTTTTAGTGCATTCAAGTAAGCTTGCTGCCATGTTCGACCATCTGCACCAGTCCTGAATGGATAGATATCTCCAGGAGAATGGAAAATACCATCTCTTGATGCTTCAAACTCCAATATAGACATGCAAATTTTTATAACATCTGATGCCTTTTCTCTAGCTTGCCATAGTAGTTGCCTTCGCCTCATTAGATGGTCATGAAATTCAGGAGGAATTCCAGAAGTCTTGCTTGAATTATTTCCCGTTGCACTGGAGTTTGGGCCACCACAGGCCCACCCCATTGCTCTCTCAAGCTGCCCTTCAGCTGCAAGAGAAGTTCGTTCACAAGCTTGCAGTGACTCCATAGACCTAGCTATCTTTGACACAGCAAATTGTAAACTTTCCAACATGTTAGGTCTGCTCAGTTTTAAGACGATAGGGTATAAACTATCATCACCAGAAAGAAATTTCTGAAACATGACCCTACTACTATGAGAAGGGTTCAAAGTAGCATCATGCATCCATTCCATCTGAACAATCTCTAGGCCAGTCTTCCAAAGAGCCTCTCTGAGCTCATTCACTTGCTTTTTCATTAGAGATGCAGCTACCCTTGCTGCTCTGGCAGTTTCATGTGCATTGCAGAATTCCTCAAGCATAAGCTGAACCCTTTTCAGAGCCCCAACATCTCTTTTAACTTGATCAAGAGAAACTTCCTTTGTAGCCTCTGTCAGTTGCTTCAAACGCTCATTTTCTTTATCTATGCTAGCCAATAAACTAGGGCCAACTCGGTCTTTCAGGTATCGACCAAGATGCTCTTGAAGTTGCATTTCAAGCTTTCTCTTAACAACATTGTAGAGCTGGTCAAACCCTAAAGTTTGATCCACAGATGAAGCTACATCATTTAGGCAGGAATCAAGAAAAGAATCAATAACCCCTAATTTCCAAACAAAGAAAGAATGATGATTCAATGAGCTGCCAAACTTCCAAACATATTCAGATATTGGGTACCCTGAACTCATCAAATCTGCTAAATTAGAAATCTCATTTGAGTGAGAAGTGGATCCAAATGAAGAAAACACTTTATCAATTGATTCCAAATCAGTAAAGGGCTTAACAAGCATCGACAGTAGCACTTTGCTTTTTGAGACATGCAGCTCTCCTTCCTCTTTGACGCCAACTAGAGAGTGAAAATGGTGGGCAGAAGTAGCCAGGGCATTCTTTATATCTGATTCTCTCTTTATGAGAGAGGAAGTGCGCAAATCCCTTTGGTTCCAAGTTTGATGGAGTTGGTCCAGCTGTGCCCTACAAGCTTCTTCTTGGGATGCAAGCTCCTCTGCCTCTTCCCATGAAAGATGATCCCTACCTTTCATGGCAGCTTCTTCAAGAGCCAACTGCTGCTCAGTAATGAGACCAACCTTAAAAAAGTAGTTCTGTTCCAGTTCAACTAAAGATGCCCTCTCCATCTCTACCTCTATAAATTGCTCAAGTACTGTATCAATAGTACCACGAATTTGAGAGATTAGTCCAAATGCATCCATGACTTCAGAATTCAGTGAAACTGCAGATCTTATAACATCTGGAAGAACAGCTTCAGTCATTTGCCCAATCAAGCTCTTGCAGGAAAGTAAAATGGTTTTAAAAATGGAGGCCCAATTTCTATCAGAGTAATATCCTGGATGGTCTTTATCTGTGTCACCACCACTAGGCCCATCTCTACCAATCAATTGCTGAAGTTCATTAACAAACCCTGCTAGAAGTATACACTTCTCTACTTGCTCTTCAAACCCACAGAAAATAGTTTCAAATTCATATTGTAACTGGTTGTTTGCATTTCTCCGTTTATTTGAGTCATTGAATATATCGAGCACCTTATGCTTGACTTCATTGTACAAATAACTGGCTGCTGAGTTCAGAACAAACAAAACCTTTTCCTTTTTCTCATTTAGCTCCCCACGCAATTTAGCATCCTTTGTCCCATTCCCATCATATTTAGATTGCCCAAATTGAATGGAAAGAATAGCATCTTCTTTCTTTGCAAGACCAGCAGATTGCATGTATTTCATAAAAGCAGACAAAAGCCGATCCTTAGCCTTTGATTCAGTCTCCGAGCCAATAGAATTCACTAGTCCAGCACACTCCTCTTCAAGCTTCTCTATCTCTAGAGCATACTTTTTCACTTTAAGACACATATCATCATGACTGTGTTTGATAGAATCAGTATTATCCCCATGTACTTTGGAAATAAGTTCAGCACCCTGTCTTCTAGCAAGAGAAAGGATATCAGAGGAAAGAGCACTCGCAGAAAGCTGCAGAGCCTGTGCCCAGCCATGAACTGCACTCGTTGTAATGTAATTCAATGGTAAAATTCTTTGCAAAGCCAAAGAATATACTTGAAGTGCATTTATCGCAGAAGAGAGTCCATCGTCCAATTCAGATACTAGTTGAGAGACTTCCCTATCTATATCGTAGCATTGTGCTTGTGTAGGCTCAGGAACAATAGTCAGTGGAACCCCAGCCACCAGGACGGCCGACGTAAGAGACAAGGTTTCCTGCATACTACTCAGCTTTGCAAAGGCATTTATTTCTTGAAGTAAATTGCTTCGTAAAGCATCGAGGATGCTTCCATGTTGTTCCATCCAGGTTGCTGCCTCTTGAGATTTCTCAGCAACCAAGGCCTTCGCCTGAGCAAATTCTCGAGCCTGAATTTCAAACGAAGCACGAATTTTCTCTGAATTGCTAGTTGCTTCAGCAACCATTGACTTCGCAGATGTCTCGTGCAGAATTAGGTTAGATCTCTCTTGATCAGCTCGATAAAAGAGTGCAGATGTAAGTTCATATTGGTTTAGAACATCAGCAAACCTCTGGTACAACATTTCCCAAAAATCAAAAACAAATTTCAGGCGCACAAAAGTACATAATAATAATAATAATAATAATAATAAAAGGGAGTTGCCCACCTCAAGAGCAGATTCAACAGCTGGTAGAGTAGCCAATAAAAGATCATGGTGTTCCTGGTCACAATAAAGGACATCAAGGTGCCATTCACATGATCAAATAAGTTCCACTATGGGCATATAAATATATTGAAACATATTCATGCACACACATAACCAAGGATAGATGTAGATACAATAGGCATAACGTGCCAATGCAAAGACCAGAACTTCAGGACATTTGCAGATATATAATAAAATCACAAGAGTCACATACAATGCGCTAGGTTGAAATTGAATTCTATGTATGTTCGAGATTGTTTTCAGCCATCAGGATAAATGAAATAATAGAAGGCAGTGACTAAGAACAACCCACATTTTCACCACAAAGGCATATACAAGCTTCGGTTTCAGAATAAGTACCTGTAAGGGAACACGAATTTCCTGCACACGTGATGCAAATAAACTCAGACTGACAGCCAACTCCATGCCCTTCCTTTCTTCACCAGCAATTGCAGCATCATCATGAAAATCTCCCCGTGTCCATTCCACAAGAGGATCCCAAACAAACACTTCAAGTAACATCAAGAGTATGTCTTTGTTCTTCCTCAAAACACCAATAACCGCTTCACAGTTTGACCTGAAGGTACCTTCTATCCCAGTCATCCCTAACGCTGCTTCAATGATCTGTGTAAGGCGGAAGGGAACAATTTCTGGAATTTTTAATCTTTGCCCTTTATCAAAACAAACATTGTAATCAATATGTACTATATCACCACTACAGAAATCCATTAGAATATTATCCAAGTGTCTATCCCCGAGGCCAAGAATATGGCCCACCATGCTCATGGCAGCAACACTTCCAGAAAACCTACAAAGTGAAGAACACATTAAACACTAAATGGTTTACAACATAGTGTATACTTTTTTTATGAAACAATAGTATCTGATTGCTCAAAAACAAACTAATAGCCAAATACCACAATATATCAGAATGCAAAAAGACTATACTCTACCACAAAAAGGGGGGATAAAAGGAAACTGATCCTATAATGGATTAATATTTCAATGTACCTTACCTCACCTATCAAATTAAAATGCTGATTCTGCTCCACAAATTATAGTGTCAAACCCAGTATATTATTCACATTGTGCAAGTCAACAATATTTACATAATATAAATATATGCATTCCCGTCTCCTTGTAACTCCATGAGCAGTTATACCTGCTAAAGGTATATGCAATTTGAGAGAAATGGAATTTATTGTTTTATATTTTTAATTTCAACCACCTATTCACCTTACCTGGGAGTTATTTGGAAAGTTTAAAGTGGACACCACGTGAGGAATCACCTTTGATTAATAGTATATATGCTACAATAAGAATGCTATAAAGCATGATGACTAGGTTGAGGAACTGGAAGCTCCACTGACAGTGCAATTAATAGATCTCAAGCAGGTTGTTAAAGCTTAGTTAATTACATAGACCAATGCAATACAGATTGTTAGCACCGTAAAGAGTGTTTTCAGGAGTGTCAGTTACCTCTTCTGTTTTGAACTGAACGCTTTGAATCCTTCACTAGCACACCAAAGTTCTTGATAAAGAAGCTGTCTAGGAGTCTCCTTCATAAGCTCCAGAAGAACTTTACGCTTCACCTCATGAGGCCAGTCCCTTCGTGAAATTACTCTCCTTATACCTTTCTCTTTGAGTGCTGGTATGATTTTACCATAGAACATATCACTGGGTCGGGGAACAGCTGGAGGAACAGAACTTTTTGAACTGCTGCCACCCACTGCTGAGAGCTGAGCTAATTGGATGCGGTTTTGCCAGGACTTAAAGACACTGTATATACTAATTACATTGTCCACCCACTGGATGAGGCCAGCCCGGCCACTAATTGGAGTCACAGAATAATAGCGAACACCAAGAAAGTGACTATGAGTTGCAAGAGATGTATGCAGAAAACCATTTATAGCTTGCAAGAGCTGCATGATTCTGGCATCAAGGCGGAGATCTTCCCTGCCCTTCAAGAGATATGTGTACTTTTGACCATCTGAACCAAGAATAACTAGTTTCTTAGGTTTAGTCTTGGTTGATATGATAGCCACCTCCTCAGAGAACGAAGCAATGGTGACAATTCCCTGAAGATTAGCACTGAGACCTCTGTCAGCTTCAGAGACTGTGTCTTGCTTCTCAAGACCAGGCATTGGAACATCAGACGATGATAGTAGAGCCAGTTGTGGTGCGACTTCCCTTAAAGGAATTGATAACTTCCTCTGATAAGATCCTAAGGATGCAGCAATGTTATCAAATGGACGCCATGCATCACCAAGTGCTGCAGCGGATGCTGGAGGGGTCTTGAAGGCCATGATGGCTGATTTCAACCGATCTTTATACTCCTCATGGAACCATACTTCATGAGGTGTTTCAGGTTTCCGAGATGTAGAAGCTAGACGACGCTCCAAGGCCACAACAATAGGAGCCATCATAGCTGAATATTTAGCAGCGTTTATCTTGTTTTTCTCACTCTGGCTAAGAGTAACATTTTCTGCAATGCGTGCAGCTTCCTCTTTCAGCACATTTATGCGCCTCATTACATCTGAAACAAAAATTAAATAAAATAAATGGGTCAGTTTGAAAACAGTACACCAATTTTTATGTCTGGTGCACACATATATTCAGGTCCCAGTGTGCAGTAGCTCATTTGTGATTAAAGCATGTACTGGCATATAGTTTCATATCAAAGTTATATAAGACTGAAAAGAGAACACTTACATCCCACAGAATTTTTGGCATCTAAAAAACAAATGCATATTCAAATAAATGGCATCTGAAACAACAAAAGCCTCGTTTAAGCAAGGTCAAACATACCTGTGTGAATATCTTGAAGTGTGCTGAGCCAGAGCTCCTCCCAAAGAACAGTAACATTTCCCAGCTCATTTATCACAAGCTGAACATCCTGAATCAATCTTGGATATAGTTCACTCTGCATGTAATATGATTATGCTTAATTCAGTGGTGTACAAGCAAGTTATAATACGAAATCTCAAATTAATAAAGATTAGGATAGTTGGCACCATTTGCAAGATATAACCTTTATTAATACATAAAAGTCAGTAATTAGTAGTTTTGTTATTATTACAAAATGCAAACTTGTCATGTTACTGTGCTTTTCATTGTTATTAATGATAACCTCGCACTCCAGAATTTGGAGTCTAATTGTATTGCACTAAATCCACAACACCCTGAAAAAAAAAGAGTTAAAATAAAAATATTGAAAGAAATTTCCTTACCAAACAACCAAGTATGTGCTGAAGCTCCTCTGAGGGCTTCTCTTCATAAGCATCCACGTCAACTAGTGTTGGGTAGACAATAGACCAAGGAGATTGCTTGGCCAGCATCATCAGTAAGCCCTCCAACTGCTTCCGAACCACTTGCTCAGGATGAGAACTTAACCGAGCAAACAATTGAGGAGTTACTTCCTAGAAGTGCAGATTGTAATCAGAATGAAATCAAGTCATCCATACTAATAAAATAAAAAATAAAAAATTAGCATGTAGGAAACAAACCAAGGAAGAGCCCCTTACCTGCCAGGGTGACAAAGGAACAGTTGAAAGAGCAGGTTCAAGTATATCTTTCAACTCCGCTCCATATTTGAGAAGAATATGTAGGACATACAATGTAGCCCTCAGAGTATAGCTGCCAGCTTTTTGCTTCAGAGGCTCAAAATCAGAGTCAGCCAAGCCACCATTGCAAATTTTAGCGGATGAATACGAAAGATACTTTATAAAGCCATGAGCTGCATGCCCAAAGAGTGACACTCTTCTCCTCCTCAAAGACCACCAAACAACAACTAAATCATCAACTACAGAAATTATATCGGTTTCATTTAGGCCAAAATTTGCACGAAGAAAGCAGATCTTCAACTGAGAAGCTAGAGTGGCAGAAAAGCAATCGTCACTACAATCTTCTGCACCAGGTCCCCTAGAAACAGCTTCAATGATACTCACTACTTGCTGCACCAAAGCCATCACAGGGTTGTTATTTCTCACTTCAGTAGAATCAAGAGAGTAGTTCGAATCTCCCTGTTCAGCTCTAAAACCCTCGTCATCCTTTTTCTGAACGAGCTGTAAAATCAAAGATTCCACTTTTATGATCTCATCTTCAGTTAGCTTGAATCTCTCGGGCAGAACTTCACGAACAAGGATGGGAGAAAATGAGCATGAGTGAAGGGTATTTTCATTTGGGGTTAAGAGAGAATCCTGGGCCATACTAAAACACCAAGAGGCATAAGAAATCCAGGATTTTCCCATAGTGGGACAGAGACGAGTAGACAATTTTGTAGCTGTACCCACAATTTCCTCAATGATAGGACCCAAAGGTGGTTTAGAGCTTAAGATCTCATCGCCAAATGAGGGCCTACCCCTTCCAGGAGAAGAGGAATCAGCCATCTCAAAGTCTGACCGCATATTAAGAACAATGTCATCTAACCTCAAATCTGAATAGTTCTGTTTAAGCCAATTTGAGAGTTTCAAGCATGCCTTGGCCTTCAGAATACGATTGTCAGCATCAGAAACTATAGACAGTGAAGAAACCATGCAAGGACGCACAAAAGACCAAAGGTTCATCAAAGCATCTTCAAACTTGTTTTCAGCATGCATTAGCAGGATGCCCTCATACTGCAAATTTGAGGTGAGAAAGTCATGGTGCCTTTCCCTGGAGCAACTCAATATGTGATCTTTGAGATATTTGTTCAGACGGTTTGCCAACAGTAGGTTTTGTTGTTTGCGGGCCAAGCTCAACAAATTCATAGAAAGCTTTAGAGTAGCAGGAGAAATTGGGGAAATGGTTTGATAAACTCGCAGAACTTTTAACCAAGGGTTACAATCTTGATAGACTCTACCCATTTGTGGATGCATAAGTTGGACATATGAACTTAATATTGACTGAAGTTGCCTGGGTTTATCTTGGTTGCCTTTAATCTTGTAAAATTCTTCAAATGCAATGATGCAGTGCAACTGGGTAGCATATGCTGCTGCTTCTTCTAATCCATCAAGCGGCAGAATAGACAATGTTTCCTCCAGCATTGACCTGGCCTTCAGTAATTCATGTGGCATCTTATCTTCCTTTCCTTCATTCTGAAGAAGCATTGCCTGTAAAAGCATCTGCTCACTTCTTTGCAAGGCCAATTTCGGATCAAGTGTGAGCTCACTGCTACTTTTAGGTGTCAAGCCAAGGCATGCCCATGCTGCCTGAAATTCACCCTCATCATACCGTGCCAAGGCATGGATTGCATTAATTTCATTGCCCGTCGTTGTGAGAGCACCGCAATAACTCTTCCCAGCATGCTTAGCACGAAGTGTTTGCAACTCTGATAACCAGGATTCTAAAGATTTCCAATCACAAACAGAAGTATAACACTCAATGATGCGTGCAATGACAAACTGTACACCATCAGAACCCAAGGAACTCAACAACTCCTCAGCCTGTAGCAAGTGAATAAAGTGCGCAGCAGCCTTTTCATATTTACCTTCTGCCTGATATACAAGCCCAGTGACCCATGTAAAGGGTCCCAACGCCCTACTGTTACTGAGGGACTGGTTTTCCTCCACAAGAAAGGGAGCGAGTGTCATTGAAACCCATTTTTCCAGGCCATGTAAAGCCTCTGATTCGTGAGTCTTACACAGAGCCAATGCCATGTGCCGTACAACCCTCAAGATGTCTGCAGAAAATCTGCCCCTGATATTATGGAGGTTCTCAGTTACTTGTGACCTAGACTTTTCATTCAAAGCTGAAGCCACAAGACTCCTCAGCTCCTGTAAACGCAGAGCACAATACTGAATTGTAGCATCATGGCATTGGAGAGCTAATCCAGCATTCATCATTGGCTCACAAATACGAGAAAACCACTCCTCACAGACTTTCTTGTTAGCTCGAAAGAATAAGGAACTAGAGCGAGTAGCAGACGGTAAAACAGCAGATCCCTCATATGCATTATATACATTTTTCTTCAGCGCCTCAACGAAATCGAATAGTAACCTCATTGGTAACAAATGAGCACCAGATGACCCTATCATACTTAAATTCCCATCATTTTGCTCACTGTCAAGCATTAGCAGGTGTGCAACGTCCAAAAGCATTCGCTCTAATGCTGCAAAGGTCTGGGTTGGCCCACCAAGGTTAGTCCGAAGGCGTGTGGCAATACAATATCTAGCAGCTTCATGAACAGCCCACCAGGCACCAGCCAGATTATTAACTGAGCAATGCTTTTCAAGAAAGTCTTCCTCCATTTTTATGTCCAACCACACACCGATGGCACCAAAATTTCCTGTTTCCTCAAGTTGAATTGGAAGGTCTTTTGAACTCCGACAACTATGAATAAGCCGTTGGATCCAAGAGGAAAGAGGCACCTTCCACCTTTGGGATATGTAACTCAATATGGTAACAAGTTGTTGCGAGTGAAGTTGCTGAGGGAGCTGCTTCAAGGCAAATCCTTGCTTCCATTGCAAGTTAGAACTATTGCCTAACCGAAGAGCAACAGCCCTAGAAGAAGTAGATGTCCCATAATCATGAAGCCCACATGCATACAATGTAGTAGGGACAACAATAGCAAGCAACCGAACGAATGCATATTTTATATCACTATCTGGATCACCAAGTTTTCCTAGGACCACTTCAGCCAAACAATAAAAGTAGCGAGGATGTATAATCCTTGCCTGCAGTAACAACTCCAATACTAATGCAACATGTGACCTCACATTTGGTTCCCTGTCAGATGCAGCATCCAAAATTGAGAAAAGCATATTCCCAATAATCTTAATATTACCATACACTTCATAGAAATCAGTTTCTGAGTTTGATTTCTCGTTAAAAGCAATAACATTCTCACCAAAACTTTGAACCCAATCTAGCGCAACTGTTTTAACTGCAAGAGGAGAAGAAACATGGAGAGCTTTCACAAAGAACATACCGTACTTCCTCAGATTCTCAACAACCACAACTGATAGTTCATTCGTCAAATAATTGCCATTAAGTAATTTATCAGCAGTCACAACTGGTGATGATTTCCCACTACTCTGATATGTTATAGAGCACTTGCTTAAGAATTTAACTGTTGTTAGCCTGTCTAATGTCTTGATAACATTGACTTGCAAATCCACATATGCCATAATAGGTAAGTCAAAAGGATTGAATTTCTCTATGATAAAATCCAACAATTTTTCTGACCTCATAAGATATAGTGTTGCAATGTCTAGTTGACAAGTCAAACTGTTCTCCCCACCCAAGAAAACAGATGTCAACAAAACTTTCAAATCAAATTTAATCAATGCAAACAATTCAAGTTTTGAATACAATTTAGAGCATCCAACAACCTCATCTCCAAGACCCGTGGCTTTCTCTAACATGCCCTTCAACAACTCCAGCTCCTCTGTTAAAGATGTCAGTACTTGTTCAACAACTTCATTATTCCCGTGTTGAAGCAAGAAAATATAAGTGGCAGCCGAACTGCCAGTTACTAGGTGATTAGGATGCAAGCGCAGCTGAGATATTGGAGCATCAAATTGCAATATTTTCTGCACAGATGATTGGAGAAGGCCAAACTTTTGCAAGGATAATAATTGGAGATTAGTTTTTAAAACTCCATGAACTTGAAAGGAGGTAATTCTTCCACTTCCCATTGGTTGGGTAGTATTGTCCACTTCCAAACTTTGAAATAAAATATCAAATGCAAGGGGATAAAAGGTGGAAAACCTTTCACAAAATATTTCTGCCAACAGAGTCAAACACTTCCATAAATCCCCAATCCATTCCAACCACCCAAATTTCTTTCCAACCATAGATAAACATCCCAATAAACGAGGAACAATTCTGTTAAGGGGTTCAGTGATTTGTTCAAGTAAATTCATTTCCAGCAACCCAGAAGCAGTGGACTGCAAAATTGTTGAAAAACAAGAAAGCAATGCAAGCAACCTTCGAAATTGTTGTGGGGTTCCATGATTTACATCCTGAAGCAAAACATCCATGTCACCTAGAAACTTCGACAGCAGTCCAACAGAAAACTGCAAATTACCCACCCAATGATTCTGAAATTGCAAAAAACTATCCATTATTATTCGTCTATCCGATTCAGCAAGGTCTGGTACCAAAGCCCACCCAAGAAGAAGATCAACAATGTCAAGAAAATGAGGCTGGAAGCATCTAGAAAACTTTAACGAAATCGATGTTAAAACGCCGAGAAGCAGATGTAACAGACTCAAGGAGGTTCTCTCATCCTCGAGAAGTACTTGGCATGCTTTGAGAATTGACAAAGCATATCTCTCAACCCCACCAACATCCCCAACATTAAGAAACTCCCGTAGGCTATCCAATGCCAATTCCATGGTCCCTTCTCCAGCGCCGCCATTGCTAAGCAACGGCAACGCCCAACCAATGAACCGGTCAACCAAGCTTCCCAGCATAACATGGTTTTGTCTTCCATTTGACGTTATAGGGATCGAAGAAACCACGGCACAAAGAGCCCCGTACGCTACAGCTGCCCCTTGCCTCACCGCATACGATCTACAGTGCAATTTCCAGAGATATTACATAAATATATGTACTTTCAACGAGAATAGATAATTTCCGACATTTTCACAACGCAAAACCCTTCTACCCAATATAATTTTTCCCGATTTGATTAAAAAATATTGCCATTTTAAGTGGTGGTCCATAAATTTTAATTAACCATAGTAAGTTAGAACATCCACTGTGATCTATGCATCACAAACCTTAATAACACAAGCTTCATAGTTCCACATCCAATCCTTTAATTATCCTACGCTTTCTCAGCAAACAAACACAACCAGCAGAACTTGTATAAAACTAAAACAACTTCAGAATGCAAAATACTCGAAAGTTGTACTTCAGTAGAAAATTGAACTAAAAAGAAAGTAAGAAAAGCGAAATATCAACTAAAATTCCAGTGGCTTTACTTGTCTAATCCCTTAATCTGTAACCAAACAGAACAAGCAGGATTTGTCTAAACAATGCGAAGTGCAACGCAAATTCCAATTTAATGGATAATTAAACAAAAAATTAGTAAGGAAAAAAAAAGTTTAATTTTAAAGAAAGAAAAAGTGAAACTGAAATTGAGGAGGCTTTACTTGTCGGAGAGAAGCTGCGAAAAGCCCTGGGCGAGAAAAGTGGCGGAGTGAGTGACGAGGAGCGAGTTGGGCAGGTAAAGAACGGCGCGGTGAAGTGAGTTGATGGCGGCGAGTCTAGCCGAGTCATCGTCGTCCGAGTTAGAGGATGGGGCCGAGGCGGAAGCCGAATCGTCCTTGGGAAGCGCGACGGAGAGAAGCGTCGCGAGTTGCTGCTGTTGGTGATGAAGACCCTGCATCATTCTCTTGCTGCTGCTTCTGTTGTTTTAACATCTCTCATTCTCACTCGACTGAGTCGACTTTCTAAACTCTGGCTCGAGCTTTCTATTGGCTTTGTTTGTTGTTGCTGCTCTGCTCTCGTTTCTCTCTCTCTCTCTTTCGGCTTCAACGTAATTGTCTTCTGCTTTCTTCTGTTCTCCGAAGTCTTTCTTTTGTTTTTGGGTTTTTTTTGTTGGTTTTCCGGCGATGGAAATTGAAGGAGCGAATGACTCATTTTCTTTACTTTTTTAATCCATGTACAGTAAAATCCTACTTTAAACACCGTGAAAGAAAATATCTTAGAGCAAGTCCACCCATGATATCTTAGAGCAAGTCCACCCACGAAGGCTAAGGTAAGGGCTAAGGCAAGGCAATGGCTGGCACTATTCATGTGAATAGTGGCAGCCTTGCCTTTTTGGTTCCACCCCAAAAGGCTAGGGCAAGGGTAAATACTATTCACATGAGATATGACGAGATGAATTTGTATAGAGTTTTTGGTTTGAGAAGTAAAGAATATGCCTAGGTATTTATTTAAAAAAATTCTGGAATTTTTGGTTTTTTTTTTTTCATTTTTTTTCCTTTTTTTTTCAATTTTTTTTGTTGCGGACGTCATTATGACATCAGCATTGCATCATCCTGCCCAGGCAGCAGCTCGAGCTGAATTTGCCCGTTGGCTTGACTAGGCTCGTGGGACCCAGGGCTGGCCTTGCGCGCCGGAGACGTTTATTTTTTTTTGTTGCGGACGTCATTATGACATCAGCATTGCATCATCCTGCCCAGGCAGCAGCTCGAGCTGAATTTGCCCGTGGGCTTGCCTAGGCTCGTGGGACCCAGGGCTGGCCTTGCGCGCTGGAGACGTTTTGGGCTAGCCTGGGGGGCCTTTAGCCTGGTTTGGTAGCAAGGCTGGACTTGCTCTTATAAAATAATCTAAAATAAATGAGATGACACTTATTTTAGGAAATTAACGGAAAAGATATGAAATATGTTAATTTTAGGCAAAAAGTTGTTTTTGGTCCCTTAGTTTGCCACTTTTACTACTTTGGTCCATGTCATTTCAATTTGATCAATTTTGTCCATGTAGTTTTCAATTTAAGCAATTCAAGGACAAATTACAATTTTTGTCAAAATAAGTAACTTCAGTTAGTTGTTGAGGGTCATTTTGGTCCAGAATTACAATTTCTCTATTGTTTAAATTAATTTTTTTTAAAATTAAAATTAGATAAAAACAAGAATTAAATAACAAAAATTTAAAAAAAATAACCAAAAATAAACAAACCCATATCAACCAACCCCCACTTGCACCCCATCTCATCCTCCCCCACGAGAAATTATAGAATAGTACTGTACTACTACCTCATCTTATGATACTTCCATTAAAAATATGCCATGTGTCATGGTTTTATAAAAAATTTGAAATTTTTTTACAGCTGGATTTAAAACATGTATTCCATTTAGAATAAACTTAAAAAGAAAAAAAAAACCTAAAAGAAAAGAAAAGAACATGGAAGACGACAGAATCCACCTCCCACCCCAACCCAATCTCCCTACACTGCCACCGCACTGCCTCCCCTTTCTGCCCCTCCCTATCTTCCTCCTCCTCCTCCTCCTCTTCCTCCTCCTCCTCCTCTCTCTCTCTCTCTCTCTCTCTCTCTAAAACTGCAAGATCTCTTGAACCCGTGAATGAACCTACAAGATCTCATCAGCATTGAAAAAGGACCAATTTCATTCAATTACTACTAACAGACACCTCCCACCCCAACTTTCTTCACATTTGATGGCAATTTGAAAATTAGAGGTTAACAAATTAGTGAGATAAAGGAGAGAAGAAAAAAAAAAGCCAGTCTTGGGGTAGCCACCGAAAGGGTAAGAGGATTGAACAATGATTAAGCGATTGAAGTGCTTGAGAAGGACCACATATATAGAGAGAGAGAGAGAGAGAGAGAGAGAGAGAAAAAAAGAGGGAGAAAAAGAGAGGGAGTGGGCATCGCCGCATCGGCCAGGAAGGCAGAACGAGGTGGACGACGGGTCGGGGGGGTGGGGGCTCTTTTCTTTTTTTCTTTTTTTCTTTTTTGATTTTTTGATTTCTTAGTTTTATTCAAAAGATAATAATTAGATTCCAAATCCAGCTGTAAAAAAAATTAAAATTATTATTCTTAAATGACACATGGCATATTTTCAATGGAAGTATCATAAGCTGAGGTGGTAGTACGGTACTATTCTATAATTTCTCCTCTCCCACCCCGTAACCTAGCCTCCCTACACCCACCAACAGCACAGCCCATCTCTAACCCAACCTCCCCATACCACACCCCCAACATCTGCAATTGCTTTCATCGCACCCTAAATTTGAAACCCATCATCCATTCCCCAACCCTCTCTCTCTCTCTCATGGTTAATTTTTTGGGGTTATTCGTTTTATTAATTCATGAACTTAGACCCAATTTGCATTTGACTCCCTCAATATCCAAAATCATTCTCATGGTCCTTCAACTTCAGTTTTGTTAGGACAAATGATCCTTTCATGAATTTTTGTTAACTTTTCTGTTAAATGCATGGGTAAAATGGTTTTTTAATGAATTAAAATATTAAAAACCAAACCAAACAAACAAAAAAAATCAAGTTTTTAGGAATAAGAACTAATTTTATAATTTTTAGTTTGACTGAGGATAGGAATAAGATTTTTTATTTTTATTTTTTTGGGTGAAAGTAATATTCAGAAATTAAAAATTAAAAATAATACAAAAATACCATTTTTCCCCTACATTTAACAGAAAAAGTTAACAAAATTAACGGTATGACCATTTGTTCTAACAAAAATGAAGTTAAATAACCACGGGAATCATTTTTCCCCTACATCTAACAGAAAAAGTTAACAAAATTAACGGTATGACCATTTGTTCTAACAAAAATGAAGTTAAAGAACCACGAGAACGATTTTGGAAATTGAGAGACTCAAATGCAAATCGGGTCTAAGTTCAGGGACTAATAAAACGATTAACCCTTCTTTGTTCTAGTCTCTTCGAAATTTGGAGCCTTATTCAGGAAAATATTTTCCTTTTTTTTTTTGTTCAAGAGATTTTATAAATTGTTCATATAAATATATATATATATATATATAGAGCCACATAGATTGCCAAACACCTGATCTTCAGTTTAAAGTCATATCGACGGCTGAATTTTTCCAGGTAACTTGAAGGAATTTTCCAATTAGGGTTTTGGATCTTTCAATTCAAGTTAGGGCTTTTGCAAGGTTTCAAGAATTAACGAACCCTAATCCAAACTCAGGAGCCAAAACGATGTCGTACGACGATGTGGAGATCGAAGATATGGAGTGGAACAATGAGCTCCAGGCTTACACATACCCCTGTCCATGCGGGGACTTGTTTCAGATCACCAAGGAGGACCTGAAGTTGGGCGAAGAGATCGCTCGGTGCCCTAGTTGCTCCCTCTACATCACCGTCGTTTACAACGTCGAAGATTTCTTAGATAAGAAAAACAACAAACCCATCGAGCCCTCCAAGCAGCAACCCATTACTGTCGCTTAAAATTTCAGGTAAAATTTGATATGAAAGGTCCGTAATTTAATATTTTCATATATGTTTAGCGATTGAATGTTCCTTTCCAGAGAATTTTATTTATTTATTTATGAATTATTGTTGTTTGACACGTTCATCAAATTGGCCTTGGATATTTGCTATTGCTAAAATGTTTTTGTCTCCCATGCCAACTGTTGCTCAATCGTCAAAATTTGTTGGGTACCTGTTTTGTATCTAGAAAATAGAAGATAAAAAATATAGTTTTTAGTTTTCTATGGTGCTTAATTCTTACTGTCATTTAGTCAGTTCAGTTTCTAGCTTGTTTCTCATTTTCTGGGAAAACCCATCTGATGTTGAAGCTGGGGCGGATGGATAAAACTCAAGGATTTGGTGTTCCATGAGTTTTCTAATTGTTTCAAATGGGCTATATACCTTTTGAAAAAAAACACATTATGAGAAGCTCCTTACTTGTTTCTTATCTTCTATGACAAGTGTGATTTGGAAGTAGTGCTTCGAACAAAATTAACTTACGTATAGCTTTTTAACACTTGAATTGAAATGCAGTTTGGAATTATTATTATTTTTAAATTGTCAGAGGTTATTCGCTCTTGAATGGAAACTCAACTATACACTTTTAGACAGTATAATTCTTTTAGGGAGGATGGTGCCTGAAGTTTTGGCACTTTCAAGTGTGGCAACTTAATGTGGTAGTGCAATAGTTGTCAGGGTGGACTGAGGATGGAGGTGTCCTGACGAACTTCCATCGTACTAGGAAGTTTGGATTTTCTGCTAATTTGGAAATTAGAAGAAGTCTGGACTCTTTACTTGGAGTTGAAATTTGCTTTGGAGGAGGAATGCCCCAAATTCAGGGTTGAGACTGATACATTGCTGCCTTTGCTGCAGCAAAATACTAGAGATTGTCACCCTTTGGAAACCTTATTACTTGGTTGTAAGATTCTAATGGGGAGGGGTCTTCTTGTCTTTCTCATGTCTGTAGGGAGAGCAAAACAGTAGCTGATAGCATGGCAAGATTTCGGTTCTCACTGGAAGTAGGCTGCACATTGTTATGTCCCTCCAACTCAAGTCAAGGATGTCTATTTTCTCACCTGGTTGGGTTCACTAGACCTTGATTGATTTTGTTGCAGTTTGTTATCCTCTTTGGCCTTTAGTCATTGTTAATGAAACCTTAGTTTGGAGCAGTTTCACTTTCTTAAAATATTTTCCCCAAATTGAGTTACTTTGCTGACTTGGGGGATACTATGGGTTTTCCTTTTAATTTCTGTATTCCATTTCCACCAGTCGATACCCCAAAAATTAAAAGGTGGTTGATATAGTTGTATTGTTTAGATCAGTGAAGAGTAAAAACTAAGAACAGTTTGGTGAGATGGGATGTTCTGTCTCAAACCAAAGGAAAAGGAGGTTCAGGGGTGGGTAATTTAGCAAAGAGGAATGAAGCTTTGCTTGGGATAGGGTGCCTTTTCTGGCGTCTTTGCGGCCATCTGTAGCTTCAGAGTTTAGGGAGTTATCTTTTTCAGTTATTTTGTCTGACTGGAAAGCATCTGTTTTGTAGCTCCTTGGAATTCTGTTCTTGTTTTGATGTTTTCCCCAAGGATTGAGGTGTTGATGCAGTTTGCATGTTTAGTTTTTTTTTTGTTTTTTTTAAAGAGTTGACTCCTTGTTTACTTTTGCTGTACTGTTTATTTTTAATAAAGTGTCACGTTTCTTATAGATTATAAAAATCTAATGTAATTTGTGCTTTTAAAAAAACTATTATAATTTGTATACCTGTTTGAGCACAGCAGCACTGCAACTAGCTCGTACGGATGAAACTTAAATTGGAAGTTGTTGTTTTCAAATAGATAATTATGAGTGCACTTCTCAAGGTTTTTCATGCTCTTTTAAATAGCTTCATTTTGTTATAGTTTGCAATCACTCTAATGCTTCTACTATTTCTTGCAGATGGCCTGATCTGGAGATGGCATAGTGGTGGAAGGATTCTTCCCGAGTTTTGTTAGATATATAACAAGATATGAAGTGTGCAAGTAAGGAGTGAGGAAACTTTTTGTATTCAACATGCAAAGGAAAAGTAGAAATTGATATGTTGAGGCTATTCTTGTTGAGCAATTTTATAACTTATTGTTTGTCATTTATATTTAGGGCTAAACACATGTAATCTGATACTAGTAAAATAAAAAAGAGAAATCAGCTTGGTCATTTAAAACTATCCGAAAATGTGTTTCGATCTCAATGTATTATTACCCTTCTGATGGGGGCGCTCTGTGACCCTGGTGTGGCTTGAATTGAAAGGAGCTGATTAACTTACTAACTCCATGTAATCAATTATTAACAAATTGGGTTTTTGGTCATTCATCTGGTTCTTTTGGTAATCCCCAATTTGGTAAAACTGGTTTGTGACTCATCAAATTGGGTGAACTTTGGTACTCAACAAAACCAAACCAAACCAATTTTTAGTGATATTTTTCAGTTTGAGGGCATGAAGAAAGATGGATTCAGCAAACTCTTGGAACCAGACGATGCTCTGTTTGTGTGTGTTAGTACACTATTACTAGGTTAATGAAGTGTCATATTCAGCGACTTTATTACAGATTTAACAGCAAACTCTTGGAACCAGACGATGCTCTGTTTGTGTGTGTTAGTACACTATTACTAGGTTAATGAAGTGTCATATTCAGCAACTATATTACAGATTCAAGGGGTATATTCAATTGAAATTTTAAAAGACTATTTTGAGATAAATAAGTATGTGGTATTCTATTAAGACTTTTAAATAATCTAAATAAGTCTTGTCGTATTCCATTAAGACTATTAGGATTTTTAAAATAGAGTCACCAAATCTATTGGTATTCAATTAAGACTTTAAACAAGTAACAAAAAATCTTATGGTATTCAAAAACTTGCTAATTTCATAGGATTTTTTAAAATGTGGAATTGTGTGGGAGTTTTTAGTGGGAAGCATAAATACCAAGCCTTATCTCAAATCCCACCCTAACTCATCAGACTTTTCGCATGAGATTTTTTTATTTTATTTCCTCACCTTGACCTCCATCCAAGCAGTTGTGCATTGGGTATAAGCCATGGCGACCAAACCACCAATGAAGACCACTGGGTATAAGTAATAATGTTCTTTCCGCACATGATGACCAAACCACCAATACCCAAAAGCATTGAAATTGTTGGCTTTGATTGATGTGATGTACTGTATATAAATAGTTAGTTTATGCTGTTTGGGCACAATCGGGCTTGCAAGGTGGGTGTTTGATGAAATGACTGTTAGAGATGTGGTTTCTTGGAGCTCTATGATTGCAAGATATGTTGCTTGGTGTGCGCCTTATTTGTTCAAATTGTTTACCCTTTTTTAATTTTTTAATTTGTTGCATCAGTGCGCAATTTGGATCATGTAGTTTCTGCCTTCTTATGCACCAGTTATTACTTAAAAGATGTTTTATGGCAGTACATAGAACCAAATGTTAACTAGTTAGTCATTCTTTAGAGCTCTACTAAAACAACTTTTCCTAAACACATATATTATTACTCATATTCGTTTCCTTCTTTTGTTTTCAACAATTGTCCCTTGGATGCCTTTAAGGTTTTCAAGATATGAAACTAGGGAATGAAAATCCAAATTCAATCACTTTGGTAAGCATGCTTTCTGCCTGTACCCGTCTACTTGATTTTAGAGCAGGAGAGTCCATTTATCACTACATTGTTGTTAATTGCATTGGGATAGATGTTGCTTTGGGGACAACTCTCCTTGAGATGTATTCTAAGTGTGGGCACGTTAAGAAAGACTTCCAAGTTTTCAGTTCAATGAGTGAGAAGAATTTCCAGTATTGGACAATTATGATCTTTGGTTTTGCTGATCATGGTCATGGAAAGGATGCTATCTCATTGTTTACTCTTATGGAACAAACTGGGCTAGTACCAGACAGCATGCCATTCTCTGTTATCTTGTCAGCATGTAGCCATTTGGGCCATGTACAGAAGGGTCGACAATTTTTCAATCAAATGGTGGGAACGTATGGTATTCAGCTAACATTGGAACATTATGGATGCTTAGTAGATTTGCTTGGAAGAGTTGGTCTCATTGAAGAAGCTTATGAGATTATCAAAAATATGCCAATGGAGCCTAACTCTGTTATACTAAGGAGCTTTTTGGGTGCTTGTAGAAACCATGTTTTGGTTAATTCTTTAGATGATAAACTCAGGAAACTCTTTATATCATAGCCTAACCTGGGAGCAAACTATGTACTTGATGCTATTGTATCTTCTCTTTCTAGTTGTTGTAATGAATCTACAAGTAGCCATGAAACAATGAAATAATATTAGCTATTCATATTTACGGGTCTATTTGTTCTTAAAAAATCTTATGTCGATCCCGAAAGAAATCCATGTGGTCCTTTCAAATCCATAAGTAAAAAATCTTGATTATAGAAATCCATAAATAAAATCTTATAAGTCATTATATTCTGCTTAAATCCACTAGACTTTTTTTATCCCTAAATAGTCTTTTAAAATCTCAATTGAATACACTAGATGCTATTTTTATTGTTGGTCAAAGGTAGATGCTTAACATGTTAAATTGTTTGGTAAAATAACATTATATATTGGCAAAAAGTCACTTTTCGTCCCTATAGCTCGACGAAATTTCCACTTTCGTCTCTATGGTTTTAATTTTGACAATTTGAACCATGTACCTTGATTTTATTGCAATTTAAAGACATGTCCAAATTTTCGTCCAATTTCTTGACGAAATAAACACGTCGCTTACGTGGGGAGTATTTTGGATGGAAATTCAAATGTGTCCTTGAATTGCAATAGAATCAAACTACATGGGTTAAATTGAAAAAATTAAAACTACATGAACTAAAGTGAAAAAAACGACAAACTACATGGTCCAAAAGCGACTTTTTCCATATATATGATTACTTGAAACTTGGACGTACACCATAAGTTTTTTCAGCAACCGAACCCTACCCCTCTCTCCCCAAAAAACTCCCAGCCGCTTTCATCTTGAGTGGGGAGACTAAACTTGGACGTACAGTCATAACTCATAAAGTTAGTTTATAGCAGGAAAGTTTATCATATTTGTGCAGTAAATGCATTTTGGAATTTCATTGTGTCTAGATAGTCAACTGATGAGAATGGACTTAATTGCAATACTACCAAGCTTCAAACTGTTTTTCTTTCCTAGGTTCTGAGAAGACTTTTCCCAACACTCATTCTGTGGCGAGGTAATATTCCAGGAATCTTACAACTTTTACCTTTATTATTGCACAATTCCTTAGTCGCGTAAGGACCACTGGAACAAAAAAGATATCTTGAACAAGTGGAAACATCTTATTTCCCACACACTATATTGAAACCACTTCACTCTCCACTACTTGTATATGGACTAATAAGCAACAAATTAAAGTAATCATCTTGTAATCTGAATCTAAAGTAACTTTCATGGTCATGAAGTAACCCTTAATCTTCTTCAAGGGGTGACACTTCCATTTCGGATATCCATTTTCTTCAGCTTTTTGGAGTGTCACACCTGGCTGGCTGTCGTTATGTGAAATTTTGTTTGTGGAAACACATGCATCATGCACCAAATGCTCTGAAAAATTACCATGATGGACTTTTGTTGCTTTTAGTATTCTCTACCACTGCAATGGCTTCATGTATTTAAGGTCTGTATTGAGATTGTGAGTTAAGCTCTGTCTGCTACAGATCATTCACTGAAAACCCTGATCTGTGAAGACAAGCTTCCAATGGGCACGTTTGTTGGACACATAGTTCCCGGGTTTGCACTCACCCTCCTTGGTTTATGGCACACCATCAACACTATCAGATCTTATTTTCTGAGAGGCCCTAGTAACTTTAGAGTAAGGTTTTGGCACCCATTCAATTCCCCTCTTTCCAAACTCAAACACTTGGAGCTCATTTTCATCTTATCTTTCTCTGTATTGGCAATTTTCATGCAGAGGCCCTAGTAACTTTAGAGTAAGGTTTTGGCACCCATTCAATTCCCCTCTTTCCAAACTCAAACACTTGGAGCTCATTTTCATCTTATCTTTCTCTGTATTGGCAATTTTCATGCAAGTTTTAGACTTCCCTTTTCTTCAACTCTCTTTCAAGCTCCACAACTTGGAGCATGCAACTATGTTCCTCCACCTAGTCGTATTTGCAGGATTTACGCTTTGTGCTGAGTTGATTCATCCGTTTCAGACCCTATCCGGGGTTGTTGGAATGCTAGTAGCATCTGTTTTCTGTCAAGAGCTTTTCCTACTTCATTTCCACTCTGCTGACCATGTTGGTCTTGAAGGGCATTACCATTGGCTGCTGCAGCTCATAGTGTTTGTTTCTGTCATGGCAGCTTTGGCAGCAACTTGTTGCCAAACCAGTCTTCCTGCAGCACTTGTTCTTTCAATTTCAGTGGTATTTCAAGGTTGCTGGTTTATGAACATGGGGTTTTTGCTCTGGGTTCCTAGGTTTGTTCCAAAGGGGTGTGTTGTCCATTATGTAGAGGGCACCAATGATACCATGCTTGGAGCCGTAACTTGTCAGTCAAGTGCGGCTGATTTTAGGGCAAGAGCATTGGCCAACTTGCAATTTAGTTGGATACTTTCTGGAATTTTGATATTCACAGGTTGTACATGCCTGAAATTTGCTGTCAAATGCATTCCAAGGGACCTGCCAATAGAGTATGAGCAACTCCATAGCAGAGGAGCAGATGTCCCTATAGTCATAAATGATTTCAAGGAAGCTCATCCATAGAATATTTAGTAGTCAATAAGAGCAAGTCCGATGTTCTTTGCAAGGACAACATATATGACACTTGATTTCTGGGATCAATAATATATCAAAATTGGGCTGGAGTAGCTCTTTGATATTTGTTTCCACAGTTTCAAATTATATATCTTGATAATATGAGATTTTCTTATTTATGGTGAGATTACTGAAAAGGTAGCATTGAACCCTCATGAACTCTGGTTGGGCATGTATAGCCATTTTGTATGAGAAATCATTTATATTGGTGCCCTAACATTTCTAAGGAATTCAGGGCCTAATTTTGTCTCTACAGCATCTCCACCCGATATGTCAAACTATCGTGTGCACATGAAATGGTAAAAATTGAATTGAAAGGGAAGGTTACTTCAACCAAGTTGGAGATAAAAATAAATAATCACATGAGCTCCATTTGTGTTTAAAGATATAATAAAATAATATAGTTTATGATATTTCAGGTAGAGATAAGAAAATTTTACAAAGTGCCAAATTGGAACCTAATTCATCAACTAGATCAGTGTCACGCTCAAATGCTTAAACAATTAAATTTGTCCTAACTTGCCAACTAATGCCACTAAAATTTCAATGCATGGATTATCATCTGACCTGACCAGTAAAAGAAATAAAAAAAATTCCAAAACTGTCTACAAGAAAAAGGTGATGCCCCAGTCTTTTTAGAGATTCAGAAAGATTTTACTCTTTCTGTTATAGTTTGTTTTCAATCATTTGGGAGATGAACTACTTTGTTGGTAAAGCTGGTGCACAATAAGATGCAAGTATATATACAAGAATGAAAAAACTTGGTCCAGATCCTATTTCTTGAACTTAGATTAGATACCCAACTCAATGCACCAGAAAATGAAAATATATAAATCATTGCTACATACATCAAATGAAGTATTTAAAGAGAGATACAATGTAAATATTTAGCAAAACACAGAACCAACCATCACATAATTCTTACTCAGACTCAGCTGCCTCCTCCACGGACGCTTCGATTCGAAGAAGAACAAACCCTACTGCAACTCCAATAAGAGTAAGCCCATTCAGGATTGCTGCAATCTTGAAAATCTCCCCAACAGCATCGCAGGTAGAGGAGAGTGCCCCTCCTCCACCTCTGCCTTTGCCCTGTGAAGGGGCTCTCAAGGAGCTCACAATCTTTGCAAAGGACTGCTCAGTGCCCTGTGGAAGGCCAAGAGAGGCCACACTGCTGTGAGCTTTCAGCCCAGAAAATGAATTGAGCCCTGTTATGTAATTCACATTGTTTGCTGCCCTCCTTGGCTTTGCCACTGTGGTTGTGGTGAACATTGCTGGAGACACAGTAGCTGAGGCTGTTGCCATTGTGGAAAACTTCTGCAGAGGAGAGAAAAAAAAAATTGGTACAAAGATTTAGACAAGATTAACTAAAAACAGATTTTGCTGGTAATGAAATAGAAGGAACCCTTTGTGTAGGGAAGGAGAGTATTGTCACCTTTTTTCCTTTTCTGCGGTGGTGCTTGAATTTTTTCAGGCTTCTGCAAGTACAAAGATGATGGGAAAATCAAATGAGTGACTTTGTATTGGCATGCGATAAAAGATGAATGGATAAGGTGAGGAGGGGGATGGTTGGTGGACAAGAAGATTTGGATGAGCTTAGTTTCTAGAGAAAGATTGTGCAACTTTAAATGGTGGCCAAGGAAAAACATAAAACTAAGGCTTGACAATAAAGAATAAAGAGTTTTCTTTGAGGTTGGGTCTTTTTTGTCATGTTGGAATAATATGGGCCGAAACTATCACCCACAGAGCAGAGCAATTTAACCATTGGGCCTTCTTCATGAGATCCACTTTCAACTATACAACAACATGGAATTGCATGACCCAAAACTAAATTGGGAGAAGAAAAGAAAAGCATTGTTTTGATACAATCTAATATAAACTAAAGAGGAGGATTTAAACTCAGTTGCAGAGTGAGAAACACATCCGTTGTAGCCAACCTAGCTAAGCCCATGTTTACATCTATTTTGATCAACAAAGATACATGTATTTTTTACACAACGAACCTTTTCTCATCTAGCAAAGTAAATGAATGTTTTATATAAGATTAGACTATAGTTTGTATAAAAATTTAAATAAAAAAACTCAATTATGTTATTCAGGCAAAAAAAAAAACACAAAGCTGTAAAAGCAGACCACAGAATTGAATAGTAGGCTTAAATCGAAAGGTTATTGGAACGGATGAAAAATAAAAGGAAATAATGAAAATAAAAGGTATTTATAATAAAACATATAAACAACTAACAACAAAGTCGTTGTAGTATAGTGGTAAGTATTCCCGCCTGTCACGCGGGTGACCCGGGTTCGATCCCCGGCAACGGCGATTTACTTTTTAAGTTCAACATTCCAAAATCTCTGTTTACCTTTTTCTCCCTTTGTATATTTCTCACTAACCAATCATCAAAATAGTTAATGAACCCATTCCAAACTCTCTCTCCTTTTCCTTTTCTTTCTCTCTCTATTTTCTCAGCAACCAATCACTAAAAAAAACACTAATGAACCCACCAGATTCCAGAAGAAGAACATGGCCCTTTAGTTTGTTTATTTATTCTTTTTCCTGCTGGTTGGAAATTATTAAATGTTAATGATTTTTTGGAATTATATGACCAATTATAGCGACAAATCGATTAGATGCTTACAAAATGTCAAGCTCAAAGCTTGTGATGACCTTTAAACTCAAACAAATGCAACTTACAACAACACACAAACACATCCAAAGAGTGAGAGAGAGAGAAGGAGAGAGAGAGAGAGAAAGGAAAAAAAAAGCACAGGCCTTAAAGAACACAAAGTAAAAGAAGAACAGCTGAGCCCAAAGATAAAAAATAAAAGAAGATCATTCAAGTTTAAAGCAAAGAAAAGGAGAACCCATTACGCATCCGAAGCCCCCACACAAGCCAAAGCACATTAAAAGCAAAACATCAATCTAAAATAAATTTTTTATATTTATAAATAATAAAAAAAAGGCAGAAATCTTCCCATCAACTTGAGCTCAAGAGAGAATATTACTTCCAAGAGATGCGATCAATAAATATGATACAAATAGCTTTATTATTTCGATTTTAAAAGAAGACTTTGCATTACATGTGGATTATCTTATTCTCAGGCTCGTAGCCTACTAGCTTTTTTTTGGCTTGGCCTCAGCAGCCTACCACCTTTTCAAAAAGCACAGCTTGCTTTCGGACATAAAGTAGTATAAATCTTGTAGTTTTCTATTTCTCAGCTTTATAAAACTTCCAAATCGAGTATTAGGTAGTCTTGTCCATCTTATTAAAATGAAGATATAAAAATATTTATACATTTGACCTAATGTATAATCAATCACCATATTCTCTTATTAGGTAATAATAATTAAATTTTTGTGGATACGACGTTTGAAGTTAACAATTTGAAAACATAACATGTTAGACTGTCTAACATCCGTACAAACTGAGAAACGATAAAGAATGAAGCAAAAGGTCATGTCAAATTACAACTTGGTTGAAATTTTCATGTATTTTTTAGCTGGTCAAAAGAAGAAAGGAAATATTCCCACCATCCAAACAATTCCCCCATCTTTTGGCTTTTTCGTGAGTCCTTCACGAAATGTGGACCAAGCCACCTCTTGGCCAACCCCTACTCTCCCACTTGAGAAAAAAAAAAAATTACACAAATATTATAAAGAAAAAGAATAAGCTGTGTGAAGCAAAAGACAAAAAATTATTCGTTACAAGTAGCATCTTGAGCTGACTCAGCTTAAGATGCGACCCTTTCCCTTTTCACACAGCTTAATTTTCTGCAACCAAATAGAACTATGACTTCTTAAATGGAAGTATTCAACTTTCTACCAGCCTTCTTGGACAATATAGGATGTATAGCATTAACTTGCGGAAGAGGCCAGCTCTTTTTGGTGTACTAACTTGATTGATCCCTCGGTTTGATATGAACGAATTTGTGTTCGTTCGTACGAGAGTTGATGTGTTAATTAACAGTTGATTATGATCATTAATGTGCTTAACTAATGATCAAAAAATATGTTATTTTTATTGCAAGCAGAGCTGTAGTGTCATGTTGTGAATTATACAGTTGCAGCTGCCCAACTCATCAAATACCAACCCATGAAAGTCATCAACCACTTCCGTTGATCTCTATAAAATTCTGGAAAAGGTTGCCACAAAAAGAAAGAACTGAGCCGAAAGTATAATATAATGAGGCTTTTCCTTTTGGACATTTAGAATGAGAATAGCGACTTTGAGTGAGTGAGGCCTCTCTTTTTCCCCCCTTTTTTTCTTTTCTTTATTAAAAAAATTATAAAGACAACCAGAAAAGATGGTTTTCAAGGAGATTCTGAATTCTTTTCTTTTTGACCATATTTGTAAACCCTGTGCTCTCTCCACCTGAGCTTATGAACATCTAGCATCTGCAGATCAGAGGGAATGTCACATTAAAAAAAAGGTGTCCTCAGCTGTACACATGCAAATGAGAACGAAGGATGGTCGAGCACAAACAAATGCATTGAACAAAAGTTAACAACACCATGAAAAAGAAAATTGAGAAGATTAGGATCCTAGTATTGCACAATCTATTTACAGTGCTAGTCAAGACACAAAAATTTGTATTGAAACTCCTAAACAATGAAAAAAGTTTCCACTATGTCATCCTGCAAAGTTCCACTAAGTCCACATGAACAAATCAGATCACTACCCAAAGAGGAGATTCTTTGATACAGTTTAGACATCCAAATTTACCAGCCAGGTAGCCGCTAATTTCTAATCATTTTAGCTTGGCTGGCATTTTGCTGTGGAGGTTGGTTCACAAATCCTGCAGCTTCGACAACACAAAATACAGTAACTTTCAGCACAACCTCCTTCATCTTGAGCAACTCAAAGACACAAACATCACCCTCTCCCAAATTGTTCTCCAGCGTAAACTCATACCATCCCTGGCTTAATTTTGCTCTACCTCCTCTGTAAAGGCATCGAACCGGCCACTGTCTACCATCAGAGGATTGAAGTTTGATGAATCCCGAAACTCCATTTAAATTCTTTTCGGCAAAGCAGGATGGCAAATACTGCAGGAGGAAAAAGACATTTTAAGCCAAGATGTAACAATTGGAAATCGACAAACATGCTATAGCACATCATATTGAACGACTCACCATTATGCAACCCCTATATAGGTAGGATGGTCGAAGGACAACCCTACAAAAAGGATTAACTGGCTCAAACGTTTTGGCTGCATTAATAGCCCTTTCTCTTTCTTCAGCTGTCACAGTTCTCTTCCTTGCAGATGCACTTTCATAAAATCTAAAGCGGATTTCAACTTCTTTTTCATGTTGAGAAGACGACTCCTGCACAGCTGCACTTTCGTAGAATTAATAGTGAGATTCAAATTTCCCATCAACAGACTATGACAATTAATATGAGTTAGAGAACTTACTAGGATCAAGTTTTCGTTTTTTTCTCATAGTCTTCTTCATGCTTCGTATATCTTCACCTGAACTACGCAATTTAACTTCATCCACAGTCTTTTTAAGCTCTGTTACATTAAATTGAACTCCTATCTCTCGACTAGATTGGTTACCTGCTTGTAGACCAGAACCCTTTGATGGATGCAGGTTCCCTGCATCAGGCCAATTTGTACAATTCTTAGGTTTGGAGCCATTAAACAAATTCTGCAGAGCTGGAGGATTATAATCTTTCCCAGGGATCAGTTGATTTGCACAGTCACCAAAGAGCTTGTCTCTCAATGAATCAGTAACAATAGATTTAGGGGAGGAACCCAAGATTTCGACAGAGTCATCGTCTTCCATTTCTTCAAATACTTGATGTCTGTAAACAGACCCTCCAGTACTACTGAGAGCATTAGGTTGATAGTTAATCTCAGCAGCGGTCAAATTGAATATATGAACAGTGAAAGACGAATGTCCTTCATATCGGAAGGTTAAAAAGTATCCGACACGGATTGTATAACGTTCAATGAATTCCTGCCAGCCATCATGAAACCAAAACTTGTTGTCAGCCTTCTTTATTCCTACACGCCAAACATTACCATCTGGAACACTCAGTGTAGCAACGGTGGATAGATCGTCTCTGAATTTTTTGACAAAATTTTCTGGAATCATCTACAATTACAAAAATAAAGCAAGGTTTTTTAGCATGAATAAAGTGACCACCATGTTAAGTTGTAAATGAACTCTTGTTTTTTTTTCGGTTGCCATTGTATAATATGCTATATCAGTAAATTTGCATAAACATAACCTGAACAGTGCAAGCTTATCACCTAAAATGATAGCATTCCAGAAACGAAATCAGAATTACAGACAGTGGCACAAATATAATACCAAAAGTAAAATTATTTTCCCCACTATATCATATTCATCAAATTTTAAGTTTCAGGCCCAAGAAAGTGACTCTGGATCCCATTAGATAATTACATGAACATAACCTGTGCTACTTGTATGAAACAAATTCATATTGTTTCAGAGGCCTTCCAAAGGAATGCAGGAAGTCAACCATAATTATTTTTCAGCGACAAACATGACTAGAAAAATAGCAGAGGCGACCATTCAGAAGCAGATCACTTTTTGATATGCTCCTAAACAATCACACTTGAGGGACCCAAAATAGAGTTAGATCAATGCTACCATACGGGGAGTTATTTATACAGGTAAAATCCAATTACAACTTATTTATTGGCTCCAATGCAACTCTTTTTTTCAATAAGACATGTTAGAAGGCTGGCAGAGCATTATAACTCTCTTTTTCAATGAATGGCAGAAGATTAACAAAAATAGTTGAAAAGGCTCAAGCACCAGTTTTGTCAATAAGTAAAATTAAGAATAAATTATGTTTCCAGTTATACAGTTATTTGTCAATAAGCAAATGGTCCCAGAAGGTTTATAATCTCAGAATAACTTTCTTTCTAACCAAACAGAGCAAAACTGGTATAAACATTTGATGTATTTTCATCTTTTCAGTCCAGTAAGACATAAATTTAGCAGCCTAATTAAGTTTTGATCCTTATAAATATCAAGAACGAAATTCATTAAAAAAATACAAACAACTTAGTTTTATAATTCAAATTTCGTTTCGAAAAAAATTCTGGGAGTTCTATTAGAACATCCTGTGACTAAAATTGAAAGAAAATATCTAAACAACCTTGATTAGCTAATCATCATCTTTGGCTTTACTAATCTCAGCATACAAGTAAACCAAAGTTTCACCCTTTAGGTTTTGACCCACCCACAAAAAAAACGAAAAATAAAAAACCCACAGAGTGGGAATTTGAAGGATTCACTTTCCTCTCCTAAGTGGGTCTGCAAAATCTTCAAGAAAGAGAAGAAAAGTTTCCAATTTGCCATCTGGGTTTCACACACCCAATTTTCTCAGTGACCAAAGCAAAACAAGCACCAAACTACAATCAAGAACAATTAAAGAAAAACAAAAAACCCACAATTTTTTTTTTAAAAAAAAAAATTTCAAGAGAGAGAAAGAGGATACCAGCTGTTTGGCTTGGAGAGTAGAGGAAAGAATCAGCTTGTGAAAACAAGGGCGTATCATTTTTTTCTTTTTTGTTGGGTTTTTTCGGGTTTGAGGTTTGTAGCAAGAATTAAATTTTGCGGGTTAGAAGAAAGGCATTGAAACTGTGTAACTTTTGCAGGGTGAGATTGGCTGAGAAAGGCTGTTTGTGCGTCTGCTTTCAGATCTGAGTTTTAACCCTACAACAGGCCAGAGGCCTACTCAAACACTTACCTGGTTTTAAGAGTCAAACACTCGGTTTTAAAAACCTAACCTTGTACAAATACATCTACTCTCTCTAATCTCTACTTGACCTAAAAGTTGAACGAGTCGAAGCTGGGTCCATCTTTTGTCCATATACCTGCTTCAGTCCATTGGGTATACGGGTCGGGTTCCTCACAACAATTGACCCACTCATCAATTTTCTTGTTTTTCTATGTTTTTTAAAAGCAAAGTGTATACATAAATTAAATCCATAGTGTATACATCGATAAATACGGTTCTAGTATACAGTTGTGGATGTATTTTTAAAAACTCTTGAAATCAAAAACTGCTTCCTCTTTCCTTCCTCCTCTTCTCTCTCCTCACTCTTGGTTTTTGACTAGAGGCGGCTCTAGGCAACAAAGATGATGATGGAATGCTATTGGAACCTCTCGAAGTATGTAACTAAATTGGCTAGCAATGAAATTATTATTGGTACTTCAAAAATATTATTATGCATTCCTCAACTTGAAAGAGTGTATGATGACTTTTTTGGAACGTCTACAGTTGTAAGGATACTTTTCCAACTTTGGATTTAGAAAATGAAATCAGGGACCCCCGACCCGTACACAATAGACCCATAATCTCAGACTTAAGACCTTGGGGTTTTTTATATTTTATTTTATAATTTTATAAATTTACTCTTTGATAAATAAAATGTATAAGTTGAACTTTCTAACAGTTGATTCGTTGGGGGTATAGGATTTTGATGGATTTATTGGTGGCCTATTATTTAGAGGGCCAGGTTTTTGACTAGAGGCGGCTCTAGGCAACAAAGATGATGATGGAATGCTATTGGAACCTCTCGAAGTATGTAACTAAATTGGCTAGCAATGAAATTATTATTGGTACTTCAAAAATATTATTATGCATTCCTCAATATAAAAATATAAGGAGAATTCAACTTGGAAGAGTGCATGATGACTCTTTTGAAACATCTATAGTTGTAAGGATACTTTTCCAACCTTGGATTTAGAAAATGAAATCAGAGACTCCCGACCCGTACACAAAAGACCCAGAATCTTAGACTTAAGACCTTGGGATTTTTTATATTTTATTTTATAAATTTATAAATTTACTCTTTGATAAATAAAATGTATAAGTTGAACTTTCTAACAGTCAATTCGTTGGGGGTATAGGATTTTGATGGATTTTATTGGTGGCCTATTATTTATAGGGCCATTTCAATGCAAGCTTATGCTAAAGGTAGTGGTTATAATAATCTCCAAAGCAAACTACTAAAGGTATGAAATGAAATAGTATACTTTCTTGGTTAGCAACCAGCAATATTTAAAATAATAATAATACATTTCAATGTTGATATTCTTTAGTTTTGCAATACATACCATTTCTTTTTGCAACAAGATGTACTTTAATAATGTACAAGTGTCAAATCAGGGTGGGCAGCCATATGCATATTAGGCTTGCAATATGAGGAGGCAAACACTGTTTATACTAGTTGGACTATAGAGAATTCAAGAGAATGTTTTTTCATTGAATTTTTACAAAAATCGAGAAGAAAAAAAAAAGTGTATCCTCAAATATCCAAAGAGGCTCATTTCTATTTTCCTTAGAGAGAATTATTTCGTATTGGTGTCTTTCTCAATTAACTTCGTAGATTTTGCACCAGGGTGCTTATTTGTTAGTGCTACTTATTACGAGAGCATATACATTCATAATGAGTTGTCGCTAACTAGATATCAAACTCATCATAAATATATATCGTCTTTGTCATTCAAGATTAGATCATCAAACTCATCACTAATATACATCATCATTGTCATTCATGTGAGTCGAACCTAAAATCACGACTTCAACTAAACGGAGACAAATATCACTAAAACAAAGGCCGTTGGTTATGTCATTATATATCCAAATGAATAAAGTACTATAAATGTGGATAGGATAGGCACTAAATGAAAGGGTAATAAGGAAAAGTGACGATTGTATAGGTGACTTCACTGATATAATATATTGTTCAACTTAGATGGACTTCCACTTCTATCAAGTCGAGGATTAATTACTTATTATTAGTGTTCACCAAATAAGCAAAAGACACAATCAACTGCTGCTGCTTTTTATGCTACGCACGCAGAGTAGGTGCTGGCATTCATGATTGAACATGATAGCCATAGTTTTTTTTTATAAAAAGAATTAGTGATTTATTATAGCAAATGTTGGTAATTTTTATTATTTATTTATTTTCATTTTCACTATTTAATCAATCAAGAAGTCAATAATCATTGTATTTTAGGCATGGGAAAAGAAATAATATTTATTGTACACTTTTTCATATAGAAGCAGATCATTAGATGGAAAAGAAATAATGGAGAGTTAGAAACCAAGAGCTCACAACCAAAATACCATCATCAAACCCTCAGTTCTGGAAAATGCCTCAACTATGCAAACTATGGCTGGGCTTGATTTGGTTAGCTTTTTGCAAAAGCAAATCCACCCTGCAGAAAAGAAGTGAGTTCCACTGGTAGAGACAACCCTCACTTCCCATCTCCCATGTCAATAAGTTCTTGTTTAGTATGAACTTCAAAGGGAACTTCGGTTGAGGCACCACACCTCTCTCAAAGGAGATAAACTTTTATGAAACATGGATAGCACTATTTTGTTATTTTTGGCAAATAACGCTATAACACGTGTGATAATGCTTCCACATATCATAACATTATTGGTCGAAGAAAACAAAACATTGTTATCTCCGTAATGATTTTTCTTCTCTCAAAGAATAGCTAATTAATGACCTCAAGTAAAGATCAAATGCAAAAATGCACTCGAATCTTGATGCAAGAGAATGTGATGTTTACACACATCAGTGTTTGTTTTTCTCGCTTCCTAAAATTGATAACAAGAAGAACAAGGAATGTTTATTGTGCTTATTCATTTGGATATATAAGGGATATTTGTAGAAATGTCACATGAACTTATACATCAATTTCAATTTGTCACCTTAAAGAAAAATTTAAGCAAAATGTCAACTTAAGTTTTCAAATAAAATTCATGATTTTGTCACCTGACTTTAACATCATTCAATTTTCCATCCATTTTGAAGGGTATTTTAGTCTTTCCAATATGTAAACCCACTTTTTTATATAATTTAAATATAAAGCTATGTAAACCCTCTTACTTGGAAAGACTAAAATACCCTTCAAAATGGATGGAAAATTGAATGATGTTAAAGTCAGGTGACAAATCATGGATTTTGAAAACTTAAGGTGACATTTTACTTAAATTTTTCTTTAAAGTGACAAATTGAAACTGATGTATAAGTTTAGTTGACATTTCTACAAAAATCCCGATATATAATATAATGGCATGTTTTTCTCGCTATCAAAATGAAATATTCAAAGAAACAAACTACCAAAATAATAAAAAGAAAGAAAAAAACCATTGCATTTGGAATAATTATGGGCACTGCAGTAGGGTTGGTAAATTCTTTAATAAAACATTCACATCGCTCTTAACTGCTGTACAAATCATAGTCAATGCAATTTGACTGGAAAAAAAATAATAACAAGAGTCAATGATCATATTGGGTTTTGAAATTTCGAACAGTAAAAGACAAAAAAGACAAATCCCATATTGAGCTGCGCCTGGCCACGTGGCGCATCACATATGTGCCTGTCGTGTAACGGTTGTGAAGTAATTTGACTTATTTTGGCGGGTAATTGAAAAAAGAAAGCAAATCACTATTTTTTCTTGGTTGTGTGAAAAAGAAACACACTGCACCATCTCCTCCTACTTCATGGAGTCTCAAATCAAATTTTGAGGGATTTAAGTTCTTTAGAATAATGGTGGATAAGAAGAGAATGTTCATAACTTATAGAATTTAATACGACGTAGAAATATAAGATAAGTGTAGAAATAACACAGCTCTTTTTATAAATTTTCTGCCAAATGATCTCCAACTTCAACTGATCAAATATTTTGTTGAACTTCAACTATGTAAAGGATTATATAGAAATAGATATGAGGTCACAAATGATCCAGAACTGATTAACTTCTAACTATTAAACATAAAAAATTAGTAGACTTTGCACCAACATCCAACTTCTTAATCCGAAATATAACTAACTATTTGCAATACAACCCAAATGCAATACAACATTAAGCAGTAACAAAAGCCATTAAAATTAGCTTAAGTTACCACATTATCTCTTCCGCAAAATATGAACCGTCATCTGGTACCGGCTCAAAAGCTCAAATATGCAAGTATCGCCGATACGGATTTGGTTAGCAGATACAAAATTAGACCACCCTGCAGAAAAGTTGTGTGACTGAGGGAAATTAGGGATACCCTTCACGGTCCATTTTTCTCCCTCTGCATTTTTCAGGATAGCCTTAAAACCTTTGCCTTCAGGAAGATGCTCCCTAGAGAAGGCTGTGGGGATGAACTGCGTGAGAGAAATGCAATATGTCAATTGAGAATTTGACATGTGAGGAGGGAGAGTGTGAGAGAGAGAGAGAGAGAGAGAGAGAGGACCAAAAGTTGAAACAGCACCAATCAGCAGAGCAAGAAACTGAGATAAACATTCATAAGATTTTTATTCTAGTTTTCTACATGGCAAGGTTGTATATATATAGTCTACAAGTACAAATTGATGTCTCCCAAGCTTAATAACAATTTGTTGAAACCTGCAGTTAATCATATAAATATAATTAAAACTGTCGCTTCTTGTGAATCAAGTTATTAGAAGCCTAAACCGTGAACATTCTCATTTTCTTAACGATTTAACATATACTTTATGTAAATGCAAGTTACTGCTGCCAACGGCAGTGATATTTTATCTCATATATATATCCTTTCTCCAACTGCATATATGAGAATTTTCATTTCTTGGATGCATGTCAAGCATGTTATGTCTATTGCACAAAGAGGACTGATAGTGATGAGGGAACAAAAATGGTGCCCTAAAGCTAAATTAAAGGAACAAAAACAAAGTTAAAGGTTGCCTTGCTTACCTGACATTTAGTTTTATTGATGATGCCTTTAAAATAAGGGAAGTTAGATTTGAAAGCTTCAG